TAGATGCTAGTGTAAGACGTGCAAAATATCTGGTGTAGGGGTTCCAGCAAAAACAAATGGAAGATGAAGTGGTACAAAGGGTATATAATAAAGAAAAAGTGAGGAGTGGCCTGTGTTTGGGTTTTCCAGCTATAATAGGTATGCTTTAGGATACAGGAGAGAGAAAAACAAAGCAGAAAAGAAACACAGCTCTGCAGATTTTTTTGGAAAGAAGCTGTCCTATCAGAAAATGCACATTCTTTGCTATGTAGAGGGTTTAAAAAATTATCACTTGTGTAGCGATAAGAAAGCAGTACAGGCCAAGGAGATTGTCTCTAATGTCTGTATGGGAGAGTTCTGTAATAAAGAAATAATTTGATTTAGTTCTCTTTGGAGGACCTTTTGTTTGTCTGGCATTAGATAATTCCAAATTAATCTTATCTGAATGTCCAGAGTACTATCTGTGAACTCCTACATGTGTGAACCCCCACAAAAACAGAAGTTTGATTAGCTCGCAAAATATAGAATAAATCCAAGGACAATGAAACCAAAATAAAGCATTCTTTATTTAAATATGCTTTTTAAGCATACTTTTCATCTATTCCTCTTCTGACTGCATCAAGAAAGTATATGGAAACAAGTGTTTTTTTTTGTCAAACCCTCTTGTCATTACTTTGTATTTCTGTCTAGATCTAGCTATGGACTCTTATTAAGAAATATACCCACTGATCTGAACCTGAAGCTTAAAGGTTAACCCAAGTCTGCATATAATGTAATAGATTGTAAGGAGCATTAGATATATCCTGTAAGAAAGTAAAAATCAGTAATACATAACTGACATAAAAATAATTGATTTTTTAAGTTTGCTTTCCTGTCTTCTTGAGGGGAACTGACTCTTGTAACAGTTCTGCAGTAGCCAGAGAATATTGCTGTGTTCAGAAATGCTAAGGTCTGACCTTATGCGGCTTTTAATTTACAAGGAAATGTGAACTTAGCCTGGCTACCGCCAGCCTGCATGGGCTTCAGCACTTGTTAATGCAGCAGCAGTTTATGATAAGAGGATTATTTTTATGTTTCCCTGAGAGTCGGAATTCTGAGTGGTTACTTGGAGGAGAAGTGCCCTCATGATCCTTTCCAAAATCCAGAAATGTGCTTCTAGGCTAGAGTTGTCTTTCCATGTCCTTAAGTCCCAGTATTTTTGTTTCAGCCTCTCACTATGGCTCTTCTAGGAGATTGTTGTATTGCATTTTATCTGCTGGTGTTTTGCTTGAGCGTAAGCGCATGCACAGTCAGCAAAGCTGTGAACTTGCAGTGCTCGTACTTGCTGCTTGAGATGTGATAGATGACTCTGCAAAAACGGTAGCTTCGGAGACTGCTAAAGGGCCGTTGCAATTTTGTATTATTTCCTACGCTTTTTCTTTACAGGCTAGCATTTGTAAGTTAATGTTCCCTAAGTATTTACACCCATTTACTAACTCTGTTTTCTCTACAAATATTTTATTTCTGTAGCTAGTCCCTCTCTTCCCTTCCCATCCCCCCTCTTGCCTCATGGTTAGATTTGGACTTTACAAGTCAGAGAAGTTGCTTTGCTTCTTGGCTGAAGAGATCTAGGCTTTCACATTTGCAGGAATATTTCCCTTAAGTTCAAATGAGTGTTCCAGTCCTAACTTCCAAAGAATTTTGGGGAGAATTATACATATTCCATAAAACTTTGTAAAGGAAAAGTAAAGGGTGCGTAAGCTCTAAATATAACTAACTTATTCATATTAAGAGTGTGTTTTTTATGTGTTAACTTTTTTTTTTCCCTTCCCAAATGCAGTAGCTCTATGAACATAAATTTACAACTACTTTATTTTCTAATGTCCTTGCTCATTTTATCTATCATATCACCTTTACACTGCAGCAAGGCTCACTAGACCCTGCAAGGGCCATTCAGGAGTCCTTGCAAGCCTTCTGGATGTTGCATATTGCTCTGCAGGTAGCATCAAATGACCACAGAAAGGAGATGAATGGGCTTGTAGTGCTGTAAGCTGTAAGTAGTGTGATATAAAGTAGTATGAAGACTGTCTAACTCTGCTGGCCCCTTCTCTGTCATTCCTTCTCTTTGAATCTGATGCACAGTGGAGTCAAGGAAACCAAGAAAAATGGGGCTGAAATGGCTCCTCCTCCCCACTTAAGTGTCCGTGCCTCAAACCTCTTATTTCTGTTTGTTAACAACAAACAGAATGTAAACAAAATTGATTGTATTCTGTCACCCTAGATGAAGGCTGTTATGGCAAACCTAGATAAGCCTGTTTGTAGGTGCTTAACATTAGAAAAAATATTTTTGAAACATATTTTTTATCATGTTGCTTATAGTGTGTGGGATTTTGTTTATGTTTATAAGTTGACTTGTATGCCTGCTCTGCTCATGTTTGAAACCAGGAGGCTTTAATCCTCTTTTTGGAGCAGTGTTTGAGGAATACCCTTGTGCTTAAAGAAAAGTATGTTTGAAGGTGCTGCGAGGTTTCAGTTAAGCTAATAAGCATTACCATGCAAGATTCACCACTCAAGAGTATAAGCTTTCTCCTACAGAGAAACCATTGTGGGCTCAGAGAGAGTACTAAGAGTTATCAGATGTGATCCTTCTGCAGTACTTGAAATGCACAGACGGCTGTTTTTTTTTTTTTTTTTTTCCTCCTCCTGCTGTGTTAGGGTCTACTTTGTGTTGGAATACATTTATCTTTTCACATATTGTTGCAAATCTCATCTGTGCAGCCCTTTCAGGCACTGTTTAGCTTCATAAAATTGACCCTAGTGTTTCCACATTTAAACAAGCAAGGTTTAGATCCGCTTGGAAATGTGGGGTAGAAGTGCCTAGAGGCCAGCTGTGAGGTCAGAAAATCCTTTTGTTAATCTCTGGACAATGCATAATAGCAGTTGCTGCACTGGTAAACTTCACCTATATGGATGAGCTCAGTTTTGGACAGGAGATTAGAAAGGTAGAGGTAATTGCTCAAGAGTAAATGTCAAGGCTAAATTTAGATTTGTACATTGCAAATTTTAGACTGCTTATCTGTTTACCAGGCCATGCTGCTTCTGCCTTTGTATACAAACTTCAGCGTAGTAAACACAGACTGTAAGTGCAGGAGTCTTTTCTACTGTCTACAAAGTTTGTTTTTAAATATGAAGAGAATTCCTTTAAATGCCATGGAGTGTTAACTCTGGCTGTTTTGACTGCTTGGTAAGCTAGCAAACCTGACTGTATTCATAGGACTTTATTTCTTCTATGTATTTTCTTAATTACTGTATCTGTTAGGCCTTTGGGACCTGAAATAGGACAATAATCTGTTAATTCAACAGTGAAGGTGGTCTCCTGGTTAAAAGCTGTGCTCCACTGAGGAAGGTAGTGTAAGTTACTATTGTATGCATAGACTTCTTCCCCAAAACCCTGCTTTTATTATTTGTAGAGGTAGTTAGAACCAAGTGTGTTGTTATTAACAAAGCTATTATAAAGCAGTTACTTGCATAGGCCATTAGTATCATTTGTCCTGGATACTCCAGTAGTTTGCAAAATGCACCTTTAAATTATTGATAATTATTGAATTGTATTAAGGACAGTAAAAAGTGTTGAAATAGTTTTTCTTCATTAGCTTGCTTATCATCTGATATAACTGTACAATTCAAGACTGATTTTGAACAGTATCAGCAGTGTAGTGTGTGGGGAAGCATGTTCTCAAGGGTAGAGGGAGTGAAAACTTTGGAATGTTAAATGTAAAGTCCAAACAAAAGTGTTTGGTCTGCTACCCTCTGCGTGCCCTCATGAGACAAGGGGAGGAGGGTAAAGCCCTTTGGACTGGAGGCTTCCGTGCTTTCATACTTTGGACTGATAGCTCTACCTGAAGGATGACTCCCCTTCTGCCCGCAGTGCTGGGAGAAACCTGATAGTCTGTTGTAGAGGAGTAGTGTTCTTGCACCATGGATTTAAACACTCCACTGGGGGTTGCTTGTCAGATTAAAGGAACAAACAGTGTAGGTGGGCTAATAGTGAAGGACTTTAAATGTTAGTCTCAGGATCAATCTTTTTATAGGTGTTTTTTTTTTCTTAATAATTTGTTAAGAATTTTTTGTTGCTGGAGTACTAAGACAATAGAAACGTGATAGAATCAAAGAATGCAAAGTTTAAGACTTGTTTTGGTTGCCTTGATAACAAGGCCATGTGTTGGAAGTGGCCGTCAAATGTGCAGCACAGCTTCATTGTTTGGATTCATTAATAGATGAATCCTTGTAGTTCACCAATCCTGGAATTTCTAGTCAGTGTTGGAATGCTACAGTACTGCACGGATGCTGGCTACCTGCCTACAGCATGGATGGATTTCCGCTAGGGAAGAGGTGGGAGAAAGAGGTACTGAGTTGATATTGACACCACTGTACGAGAATAAACTAAAAGGGCCTGACCAGCTCACAAGCTGAGAGGAGAATTCAGTAGTGCTGTGTAAATGTTTACAGTGGCAAGTACCATGGAAGGGAGAAAAGCTGTTCATGCCTAAAATATAGCACTGGCATAGGAACAGATGAGTGGTAGTAGCCTACGGATTAACTTAGTCTGGAAATTATGAAAAGGCTTCTAACATCAGAAGTGGCTCTGTAGTTGGAGTAGGAGCAAAAAAAAACCTTACTAGTTGTTGGGTGAAGATGGATCAGATCCCACAGATAATAAAGTTTATGGGGAGAGTACGTGACGATGCCGAAAGGGGTTCACCTTAGCTCTGTATCCAGCTTATCCTTGGATTTTAAGAAATTCAGGGATTTATCTTGATTATATTGCACATTCAGAAAACTGTCAGAATAATACTGTTTCCTGCTTATTTTATTGGGAATCAAGAAATACGGCTTTGTATGAATGTTTTCTTTTTCTTTCCTCTTCCTTCCTTTTCCAGGGAACTGTTTTAGCATATTTTAAAGGGAGATTCCCCCTCATGTGTGAGAGGGAATGGGGCAGTTTGCTTAGCATGCTCGGCTACAAGGAATTGTCTGTCTAGATGTCGGTTACATCGGGTATGTCTAGGTCTCGGACCTGTCAGGATCTGGTACGTATTTGGAATATTTCCGTTTTTTTGTTCGTGTATTGGTGAGCTGTGGCTCAGAAAAACACATTGCAGGGCATCTTGTTCTTGAGCAGAGTGTACCGAGTGTAGACTCTGAAAAACAGGAAGAGTTACAGATCTTAATTTAAAGAGGGTGCAAATGTTTGCAGTCAACCAGTTTGTTCTAGTGCTGTTGCAGTGGTTTTTTGAGTCTTTAGGTTATTTACACATACATTGATATTTATCCTTAAATGTGGGTTGTCCTATAATATATGTGCTATCTCTTTGATTCTGTATTTATTAGAACAAAAGAAAAAGGAGACTTTTAGAGTTTAAAATACATTTAAGTCCTAATTAGGTGGAGTTAAGCTAGGTAGCCTGGAGGTATGGTTTATGTATATGCTTTTTTTCAGTTGGGAAAAACATGTCATAGTGTTGTGGATGAAGAGGGATGACTGTATATTTAAACTGCTTTCTAAAATCATCAAATCTGGGCTTGCTTACCAAAATTAACTCTCACTTAACCTTGAGCTTATGGTGATACTGGTGTCCGGGAGATCTTGTACATGGTTAGGAGACCTGGTTTGCTAGAGGCAAAGTTTGAGAAACTGCGGTAAACTGCAGCTCGTCAAGCTGCTAGCTGCAAGGCATTTCTTTTCCAAAGGGCAGTGAGGGTGCTTCTGTCTTTCCCTGAAAATGACTTTTAAATTAAGAGTATGAATATATTTTCATTAGTGGTTATTAACTTTTCAGCCCTTCCAACTAGAATTGCAAAGCAAGTTTATCTGCCAATAACAGATCACTGGTAAATTTGGTGTATCACATGCTACCTAATACTTTTCAGTTCTAATAACTAGAATGCCTTCTGCAGGTGAAGTGTGTCTGGTCTGTCAGGTTAGGCAGCATGAAAGCCAAAAGAACAGACAGACGCTGTTTACAGAAACTAATTTTAGCCTGAGTGTTTTTTGAACTGGTGCCTCTAGTGGCAGAATCCTTGCATGTATAGCAGAATGAATTCTTTCACTTATTCAAGCTGTAGGAGTTTTAAACTTTTTTCTTTTTTTCATTCACTGCTCTGAATGGATACAACTGCTTAAATCAGTGAAACAGTGGAATTACTTTTTAAATGAAAATAAATATTTTTAGCTACACCTGTTTTAATTTTACAATGTATTTTTACATTATATTACCAACAATACTACATTTTTAAATTGAACAAACCATTTTTTTGACTTTTCAATAAATAATGTAAATGAAATTATCAATTTAAATAACTGCTTAAATTAATCCATTTGAGATGTGATGGAGACTCCCCTTACATATTTTATATGCGTCCTGTTTTATTGGAACAAATTGAGCCACATTACATAATTTCTTAATATATAATTAGGAGCTCATGATCTGTTCAGTTACTGTCAGTCAGAGGAATATATTAAATCTCTGAATCGCGACAGTTTAGTTTTTAGACTACCATGAAATTTTGTTTAAATGAGAGGGTAAAGTTAATCATCCTTGCTTTTGCAAATAACAGTGTATGTGTATATAGTTAGTTAGAAAGCTAGTGTAGATTATTTGAACTATTTTAAGCTTAAGTTTTATTTAGGTGTGTGTATAACATCAGTTGAAGAAATGTGTCTGAGGACTGAATTAGTTTGTGTTTGAAGTTAGTCTGTTCTTAAATTGATTGTATGGCAAGCTCGAAGAATGTAGACCAGTGTTGAAAACTGATCTGGTTTCTATAGCACTTCCATTTTTCATTATTTATATATATATTGAATTCCTGTAGGCAACTAGTCATGGCTACCTGTATTGGCTTGTCTTAGTCAGAGATTATGTCACTTCTTTAGTCTGGTTCTGCATTCAGTTCTCAGTTAACTTATATGGCTTCTTATGATTCTCTACTATGTTAATATCCCTATTTTTCTGCGAGCCCTTCAAGTCGAAGGGATTGTTTAGCATCCTGTCTGACCAAGTTGTCATCGCTCCGGTAGTTAGACCATTGCCAGAGTCTTATACTGTGTTGCTGTGTAGTTGTCGTAGGTGTAATTTCTTTTAGAAAAAGCACAATTAGGTGGCTGTGATGAAAAACACGCAATTGGTAGAATCAGCAGAACTGAAATTACAGTTGTTGATCATGGAGCAGCAGCCTGGAGCAATCTCTCAACGGGTTGGGAAGACGCTCTGCCTGTCCTAAGCTTCACTCACCTCTGCCTAACGTGGGACATGTCACCTGGTCAAAATCTGGACATGGAGGAGCTCCGGAGATGCCTGGCACTGAGATTGTGCAGCCACAAGCGTTGTGCTCGGCACCTGCCCCCCTTGACCACCGGCACCGCTGCTTTTGTCAGACAGCAAAAGGAGCAGTAGAGAGATCGCTTTTCTGCAGCGTTGTAGCGCTCTTGACATCATTAATCACCCTCGTGGAGAGACGATGAACATCCAGGCTCCTCCGCATGGGTCTAATTACTGTGTAGTAATTAATGTGTACGTTTAGTCTGTCCTGACTTAATTCGCAGAGCTAGTAAAAATGGTGTCAAGAGTGGGATCTAAAGGAGGTTTTAGGACTGTGAGAAGAGGTTTGCATATCTGTGGTGCTGTCTGATGAACATCTGTGAGGCTGAGGCAGCCGATAACACCTACTAAATTTTCCCGGTGGTACTCTTGTGAAACCCAAGAGTTCCTAACTCAGGATTAGGAGCCTAGTGGGAAGTGTAAGTAGTACTTTTGGGGGTAGTGTATTAACCACATATATAGAGGCTAGCACCAACTCCCACTTGATAGGGGCCAGCAGAAGTCCTGTATAGTAGAAGCTGGTTTTGTTCTTATTACAGGAAACTGGAAAATCCATAAAGTTGTAATATGGCCTTGTACCCCTTGCATCTTGGGTGTTGACTTGTTGAGGGAAAACTCAAGGGATTCAGAAAGACATCAGTGAGTACTCGTCATTACTGCTGTAGAAGTGTAAGGGGAAACCTTTGATGTCTCAACTGCTTGGCCTCTCAGAATTGGAGATAGCACCTCCGTTGATGCTGGTTGCAGCTTATATGGTGCACTGACTATTACAAGCCAACCAAGATATTCTTGGTTGTCTATGTGGTGCTGTCAAAGAACTGAAAAGTCAAGGGGATGGCTGCTTCACCCCTTCAGTGTCCTCGTTTGGACAGTGCAAAAATGCCATGATGTTTTCAGTCGAGCTGTAGGCTGTCTAGGTTTGTGTGACCTAATTCCTGCCCTCAGCAGCAGTACCAAATATGCCAAAACTGCGCTATAAGCTTGAAGTGAAGGTTGTCAGAATGCTGCTTGATACTCGACCATGCTCCTATCTGTCGTGTTTTTCTTGGTTCCTCTGGCCTCTGAGTATGAACTACAATTTACCTAGAGAGAGCTTCAATACACTTGGAACTGCCTGGGGGCGGGAGGGAAGTGTATCCCCACCATCTGTGGTGGGCTCATACAGAATGTTTGGAAGCCAGTGCCCCAGGTCACTTGCAGTGCATAAATGACAGTCTCATATGGGGAGCACTGTCAAGAGGTGGATAACAAATGCTAACAGCCAGTTGGAATTTTGTTGCCAATATTTTACTGCAATAAATATCTGAAATCAGTTACATGGGTCCAATTACTGCATAGTAGTTAATGCATATGTTTAGTCTGTCCTAATCTATGCCACAATATTTATCTTTTAAAACTTATTTATGTGTGAGAGGGGTTGAAGCAGTAAAACATGAAGAAAATAAAGGCCAGTAGGCACCTGAACACAGAGTTGCCTCTGCTTGACAGAGTGCAGTGGACATGAAATGCATCTCGTTTATTTCCATGAAAACAGATTATATGTACTGATCGTATTGCCGGATTTGTGTATTGTATATTTGTGGCAGATGTTGTGGGCAGCATCAGTAAAAGGAGAAGCTTTGAAACATTACCGTTAAGTGATTAGTATAAGTACATATGTACGTGAAGAGGTAAGCTCTGTGTTAAAGGGTAGGTTTTGAAAATATGACAGATTTTAACCTCACTGAGGCTAATTTGCCTGAGTGGAAGCAGACCATTTCCTGGAGATGTTCGATGTATCTAATTCTTTAAAAATTACAATCATTTGATTGTATATGTGTGGCCTAAGCTGACCTTGCAAAGATACAGTGAATTACACCCTAAATACTGAATGGGGAGAAATGACAATTTAGACTTTTAGTTTTCAAGGAAAGATGCTTTTGAGCTTTTAAAGGAGTGTAAGTCCAGTGATAGAATGGGTATCATGGGAAGGATGATACAATTGGCAATTTGTTCGCATTAAGTTAAAACTTTATCCTTGTGGAAGTTGTTAGGAATATTGTGAACTGCTGTTAGTTTTGCTGTAGAGATGCAGCTGGTCAGCTGCAGGCTGACAAATAGCAACAACTTGCTTTCTACAGCTGTCAGGAAAAAAAAGAAGGGTTTCTTATTTTCAGTCTTGTCCCATAGACAACAGTGTTCTTGTGTTCTGGATCCCTAGAGTGGTTAAATCATTCTCTGTAGTCCTGCTGGGTCTGATGGCTGAAGTCAGGTGTAGGCCTAGAGAGGACGTTGGCTTCTGCAGAATCACTTGTCTTCACGCTAGTTGCAGCTTCTTCGTGAATGTCACCGTTGGATTCATCTCTTTTAAAACTTCCAGGCTTTGAAAGAGTAAGCCTGGTAAAGAGCCTGATAAAGCAACTGAGCAATTCGAATTCAGAGGAACAAAGGGAAAGGAAGAAGGAAACAAAGAAAAAGATACTGAGCACGAGGGTTTTGGCATCAGTTAGAGTGATGTGGAGGCAGGAAGCGTGATTGGTATATAGCAAGTGGATGAAAGACTTGGCTTGGAGTAGAAGGTCAACCTTTTTGATACGTAGTAAAAGTTCACCGCTTAGCACCTGGAAATACTCTTTCAGAGCAGGCAAAGAAAGCAGAGTAGGGAAATGAGTGAGCAGACAAAAGCATTTTCTACTCAGATTTCCCTACCTTTCGGTCTGTCAAAACTTGTACTTGACATGGAAAAAAAATAGTAATCAAATTAAACAGGAGAGAGTCTATACAGAGGGTGAAAAAAATTGGTGTAGGAAGTTTCTAGAATGGCATGTTTGGGAAACTGATGTTCCCCACTTTTCATAGTTACAACAAAGTGTACTTTGTTGTGCACTAATTAAGTGTACAACACTTAATGCTGTACACTAAACCTAATTAAATACAAAGGACTAACAAAGTACAAGTGCAGCATGAAAATTCTTTTAAATTAACAAGACCGTTTCTGTGCTTTAGGTGAAGGCGCTGAAGGAGAAGATTGAATCTGAAAGGGGGAAAGATGCTTTTCCAGTGGCTGGCCAAAAACTAATCTATGCAGGTAACGGATGTTCTGAGATACTGTGTCTGACTGTGCAATGGTGTTTTTCTGGTTTTTCTGTAACACTGATTTGAGGGTTAAGCCTTCTCTAAAACACAAACAAATGAAAAATATCACTGACTCGGGGATGGGAGCTATTATTTTTGAATCAGAGTTTTTGAAATATTGCTGAACGTGTTTCTCTTATCTTTGTTCTGATAACATGACTTACCATCACTCTTATTTGTGGGTCATGTATGATAGATGTAATAGGAGTAGCTATTGTAACAAAAAAATAAAGATGTGAAAATATCAAATTTCATGTTTTTGATCATCTCCTTTTGTTTTTGTCTTGTCTAAAATATTCATCCATATGCATCAGAGAATTTTGAAAAAATAGAAATTTCCTTCCTGGGAGAGGATGATTTGCTTTATTAGTTCTTATGTACTGAAAGAAACCCCCCTCCACCCAATCTCTTCCTGTTAAAAAACTCCTTGTCATAATTCTAAGCTCTGAGGTTAGAAAAAAATGTACCACGTGTGCAGGTGAAAAGCAGGCTGTGTCAAATGAAGTTTAAAGATACAGGATTATTTAATTTGTCCTTATGCAGGCTTGTTTATTGGCTTCTACCAGACCAGTCCATTCTGGCACAAGTACACACGTTTGTGTGAATTCGTTTCTGGGTTCAAAAGGTTCTGCCCCAGGGCTGGCATGGAACCTGCTGAGTTTGAGATTTTGTTTGTTTGTTTTTAAATCTGCTGCTTTTTCCTCTCAAGCCAAATTTGAAAGAAGTTTGGATCTTTTTACTTTTCCAGTATACTGCTTGTAAACAAGCTTTTGCCGTTTCTCCGCTTCTAGTAAGCTAATCTTGAAGAGGAAGCAAGAAACCTCTCCTAGTTTATAGGAACCCTCCGAATTATGCTGCTTAACAAATTTTATTCCCCTTACCTTTGAGTGAAGGCAATGCACATCAAGACCATGAGGGCAAGAGTCCCTTACATAGTGCAGGAAAACAATCAAGTCTTTTTTGCTTTTTTTTTTTTTAAACAAAAAGAAAAAACTGCATTCTTTGCAGTCAGCAGGACCAAAATGTGTCTTTCTGATTCTGGTTTACATGGTATATTCCACTACTGCTGAGAATGATTGTGAGAATGGGCATCTTAACTTTGAAATGGGAAGTGACCCTGGATACACCTTCAGAAAATGCTTCTGTTTAAATTTTAAACTGTTCTCTAAAAATTCTTCTTCTACTAATAGAAATGCTATTTCTAGGGCAGTTAACTGTAAAATAACATCTGTGTGCATGTGTATATATATATATATTATATATACCTACATTTAATATATTTTAAATACCTATGTTTAATATATTTTTAATTCTTCTATGAATTAGTCAAACATACTTTGTTACAATACCATCTCTGCTTAACAAGTATTATAGTTGGTAGCATAGCAAACAAAGGTTTCTGATTTTGACTCATAATTCTGTTTTATCCTTCTGCCGAAATATCTGTGTATAAAACAGTTTTAGCTTTTCATAGCTCTTTAGCTTTCTGTTAAGTATAAATTAGTAAAAGTGCAAAATCAGAAATTTGTCTCCTGCAGGTAAGTTTATGCTATTACAGGGAGCTTCATGTCATTTACTAAATTTGAAGGGCTAACAAGACAACAAAGAAACATGAATTTTCAAAATAATGATGTGGAATGCATCCAGCACCTTCTCTAAAGTTATCAAGTTGGGGGTAAGGTACTGCTTTCAAGCAGCTAAAACTGTGGATATCATAGAAAGTAAGTCGCTTAGAGATGAACTGCTAAGGTTTCATGGCTAAAGTACATTTCCTAGTATTATTAATATTCTTATATCTGCATAAAACTTTTTTTTTTGAATTTTGGAACTTCATGTGAATGACTCCCAGGAGGACTGTCTAATGATCTGGTAAATGACCTTTTGCTAATTTGTATCTGTTTATCTTGCTAGGTAAAATCCTTAATGATGATACAGCTCTTAAGGAATACAAAATAGATGAGAAGAACTTCGTGGTGGTTATGGTGACAAAAGTGAGTGATCCTTATTTTTCAAATTTTTTTTTTTCCTCAATATAATTAGTGATTGTAAATGCATACCCTTGGAAAAAAATCTGAAAGTTTTAGTCAGCAGTAAAATGATTATGGGAATAGAGTTGAAACATCAGTTTCTCTTAGCAGATCTTAATGCCCCAGGTTATTGTGTCAAGCTGAACGCTTAAACTGGGAGAGGAAGAAAATGTGCAAATCGGCAAACCTCTGAGTTTAAGGGACAGCTATGGCTTGTTAAAGAGAATGACTGTGACACTTGTTTGAAATGCCTCTCCTCTTGCCCTGCTACTAGATTGCTTCCCGGGACTCGAGCCATTTCTCTGGTAGGCATCCCAGGGCCTGCGGATCTGAGACGTCTGGCTTTTGTCTCTGTCCCGAGAGGTTAACTTTGGGATTAGAAGTCCCCTTCCTGACAAAGCACACCCGTAGCTCAAGTGTCCTTTGCTTTTGTTTGGTGTGGGCTCGTTAGTTTCTCTATTTGAACATACCTTCAGGCAAACTAGAGACTAGGACTCAGGAAAAGAGACTTTTGTCAGTAGAGCCAGGAGAAACAGATGGGATTTCAGAACAGGGATTTTTTTCTTCTCCGTTACTTAAGAATACTTAAACTTGCTAAATGTAATACCTAACCTATGTGTAGGAATTAGATAGTTCTTTAATGCCATGAACCGATGAGTGAAATGAGGAAACTGGGGCATTCCTTGAGTTGAAGTCAGCCTTCTGCAATGTGTGTATTGCTGTGCACACTTAAGTGTTTGAGTTTAGTTTTCCTTCTCTTGACTTTCTTGACTTCTTTCCTTTTCCTTTCCTTTTCTTTTTCTGGATAAGATATGTCCCTGCCAAAGAAGCAAACCCATTAACTCTTTCTGATGTTCACACTATGTGCACATTGAGTCTTTTCTATAAATGCTTCCTTTATCTTCTCTGTTTTGGCTGTCATAAGGGAAACTGCTTATTCCCAACCTCTTTGCTTTCTTTTTGGGCAAAAGGAGGAAAGACGTTTTTCCTAGTTTTCGTAGTTTCCATATTGTCAGAAAGTGATTCACCTTGTATAACTAGTTGTATTTTGCTAAAGTAGCTATTGTTGTTGCACAGGCATGGAAGTGACTAAACTGTATGAATATGTGCAGATAACCATGTTACAGCTTTCCAATACTTAGCTACATGCTTTAACCACAGTTGTCATTTACATTCTGAAAAGTGTAACTCATGTACATGGCTTTAGTTCCACATCCGGACAGAATTCCCATTTCTAACAGGGAAGATGAGATCACAATTATATGCTTGCATTAGCAAGTCTAAATTCGTTGCTGTTGATTTGATAATTCTTAGTTGTTCTGGAATTTTGGGACTGTATGCAAAACAGTATGTATGTGTAAAACCAATTACATAGTGCTTTATATGTAAAGAGTGCATAAGTAAAACTTGCTGAAGATTAAATTTCTATTTTTTAGCCCTAGTTTCTGGTATTTCATTTCCAGGAAGACCTGTTTGTAACAAAACATGATTTGTGTCTTTATCATGTTTTTATGAGGGGTGAGAAGATGTTACACTTGTTATACTTGTTAGATGTCTTTTGACAGCTGTTTTAGTTTCGTCTGAAAAAGGTGCTTTTATAATGCAACATTTTTGGGGGGTATTTAGTGTTTTATTCTATAAATGTTTAGGTTTTCTTTGTAGATTTCACTTTGTATTCAGACAGTGTGAATGCTTAGGTGTCTAAACAAGTGCTTTACACATAACACAAGGCATTGTAGATTTGGGTTATCTCCTGAATGTTTTCATTGTGCTTGATGTTGAGGCCACAGGGCAAAACACAAATGTTCTTAACGGAGCATAGCCAACAAAGTGGCTCTCGACAGCGTCGCTGCAGCAGCTGTGTGCCTTTCCTGAGCTCTCCCGTCCTCCCCCAGCCCAAAGCAGCAGCTGCACCGACGCAGACGACTCCTCGAGAAGAGACGCCCGCCGAGAAAACACCTGAGGCCCCGTTTGCCATCAGCCCGTCGTCGACTGACAGGTACGAATGAGCCTCCCAAAGTCCATTCTCTGCCGCTTTGTTGCTTCTGGTTTGGGTTTCAGGTTGATTTGTTGCGTTTCAGTGTCAGTCCAATCATTTTTGTGCATAACTTTTCTTCCCTCCTAACTGTGCATGGTACTGATGGTAATACGCTCACCTCTCTGCACCCTTCCCTGTGGGAAGCATGGTTTGGAACTAAGCTGGGAGGGCAGAGTTAGTATTGCATTCTCTGCAGGCCTTTGAGTTAACTGTGGCCCATGTGCTCTTTTATTACTTGCACTCAAAATTGGGAGGCTCTTCAGGCTTTAAATAGGTGTTTTCCCCCTTAAATATCTCTGATTATGTTTAGAATTACACTGATTTGGTGTGAATTGTGCTAAGAACTTGTTTACTACAGTAAGAGTCCCTTAGCTACTGGAAAGATTTTTGGATAGGTCTGGAAAGATCTATTCACACAGTCAGCTTTTTTCCCCAAATATAGTTTATCATATTACTCTTGATAATATAATAATGCTATAAGATTATCCATTATAAGCAAGCCAGTGGCCGATCTGGAAATAGCTGTGAGAGCTGGGGTAGCTTCTAACCTCAGTTCTCAATCAAGAAAAGCAAGTGCAAGTTTAAAGTTTCGTGGTTGCTTGTACTTTGCTTGTACTTTTGTTGCTCAGCTAAATACTACATGAGATGAAAAAAAAAAAAAAGTCTGTAACTGAATGGCCTGCAAAGTGCTGCATTGCATCAGATCTTTTTTCTTAAACAATAGTTTATTATCTATTATTTATTTATTATCTATGTGTTGCACAAAATGTTTTTTTAACTGTTTGTATACCATCAAATGTTGGTTTGATATGGGACTGAAGAAACAAAGGTTGCAATTGTTTGCAAAATTTACAATTACCTTAAAATGTCAGTGGTGATTTATTGCACTAAATGCCTTTCATTATTGATTTATTTTTGCTATTTTGTGAAATTGGCATGTCTTTTTAGTCTCATGAATTAGGGAATACAAATGAGGCTTCAGGTAGCAGTGAAATAACTTCCTTTTCTTTGTTGGTGAGATTTTTTTCTCCTCTGTTTGTTCAGCAAGTTCAAAGCCTAGATGAAATCTTTGTTTCTGAAACAGCGTTCTGCAGGCTTTCTGTGCACGAATTGCAGTGCAGGAGAAGGGGTCTCAATGTGAATACTTAATTCTAACAGAAAGCAAAGGAGTAATCTGGTGAATACCTTGTAGGTATTGCCTGCCTTGATTTTTAGTGAGCACTGCTTGTTTAGATTTGCTTGAGAAATTAAGTAATTACTGCTTCAGGGGTGAGTGAAGGTTCATGTGGCCTTGACCAGTCAAGCTGGTGTCCTATTTCATCTTTGCTCTTTTTCAGCTGTGGTAAACCTTGGCAGTGATAAATACTACTGAAATATTCTTGCTGGAACAGTTTTTTTTTTTTTTTCCCTTACATAAAAGGATATATTTCTGCAAATACCTTGACAGACTTTTTTTATTTTTTATTTTTTTAAAACAGCCTCTTCCAACGGTTGATTTTGATTAATCTGATGATCTTTTGTCTGTTGTTGTTAGGAGCTGGCAGCTCCGGCAGCCCAGGGCCTGTGGAGCTGCTGCAGCTCCATGAGCCCAGGTCCACCTAGTATTGAGGCTGAAGGTGCATCCCCAGGAGATGGGGAGGATGCAGCACCCACGTGAATACAAACAGCACCAGCAGTCTTGTCTGCTTCCTCTCTTTGGCTGTGACCTAGAGCCCCTTCTCCAGCTGCGCACTTAGACCTCCAAACACACTCATGAGAGCCCTGTCACCCAGGAATATGTTTAGAAGTGAATCCTTAACAAGACCAGATCTGCTGATGAGGCACGGGGCATGTCCAGACATATGTACTGACCAGCTACCAGTTTTACAGATGACTGGTGTCCCCACTTTCACCTCTGTTTTCCATCCTTTTCATCCCTAGTCTATATTGATCCTCAGCACGTTGGCCTGACTTTAGTCTTTCCCCTAGACGTCTCATAATGAATCTTTCACAATCCCAGAGCATTTTTTCCTGGTATCTGGTGATAAGTCCCAAAGCCCTGAAGGCAGCAGCTCCCCAGTCTGTATGGCAGCCAAGGAGCCTCCCCTCTTCATCTGTCAGGATAAGGGAGAGAAGGGTCATTGCTGGTCCACGGGGCTGGTTGGCATCCGCTGACAGGGCTGGGGTGGTCTAGGGCAGGGGCTCTGCTGCGTCTGGTTAGGTTGCTGGGGTTCCTCTCTGAGCTACACTGTGCTCATGGAGATGGGTCTTCATTCCTTTAACCTACCCGCTGTATTCTGAAAGGGAATCATTGCCTACATCAGCAGTTTGCCTTACTGGGAAGGGGCAACACTGAGATTTTAAAAAGTGCTTGGCCAGGACCCGCTTAGGTCTTCACTGAGACTGACCTGAGCTGCCCCAATGACTTCCGTGAAGCAGCTAAAGACATGCTGTGTGCTTTACAAAACCCATCTTGTCCTCCCTCTGCTTACAGCATTCAAGGAAGCTGATGAGCAGGTGGGCAGCAGCCAAAATGTGGGGTGGGGGCTTGGCCTTTAAGCACTAAAAATGATAGCACTGAATTTTGTAAAATTTGGTTTCCTTATAAATCCAGGAGGGACGGCCCGTCAGAAAGGTTCTTCAAAACAAAAGGTGCCACTGACACAGTTACAGCTGCTGCTTCTGTTTTGAAAAACAGGAAGTTTTCCAAAGTTTTGTAATTACCATTGCACTTGTCTTCATCTTACAGTACAGCAGGTGATACATCTCGATCAAATCTTTTTGAGGATGCTATAAGTGCACTTGGTAAGTTGAGTGTTTTTTTTTTTGAATGTAGATGTTACTTTGGTGCAGCAGGAACAAATGAGGGATTCGCAGATGTTGACATTCTCCTCTGGGTCTGTCATTTTTAAAGTTAAAGTACTCTTCTCTGAGGAAAGAAGTCCATACCATAGAACTAGTATCAGGAATTTCTTTGCTGAAGAATATTTCACTTCATATATTTTTACTGTAGAAAAAGAAAATTCTTATTCTTCCTGTTTCTTTTTTTTTCCCCTCTTTGCCTTGATATCTCTTCTAATTATTCAACTTAAAGTGGCTTGGATAGAAGACTGGCCATAAATATGTGTAAGTTTTTCTTTTACCTTTGCTTCCCAGTGAGCAGGTCTGATAATGTGGTAGCTTTATTACTCACTTGTTCCAGCTTTGGCAGTACTGTCAGAGTATATCCAGGATACTTTTAAGTTGTGTTTATATAAATTCACCATGTCTGGTGCTGTCCGTGCTGTGGGATGAGTTCCTCTGAGTGCTTAAGAGTTGATCCACTTTTTTGTTCTAACAGTTTTAATGTCTTTGCCACTGAGGAGGTAAAACAAATGGGATAAAACAATAGGGTTTTCTGCTCCTCAGTGTCATGATGCAGATACTTACGGAATTACCAAACAAACCCACAAACTCCTGTCACTAGAACTGTAAACATAAAGCTTGTTGGAGAGAATTTTTCAGAATGTAGAAAATTGAGGCATAGACATTAGGAGGGAGAGAATTTTTTTTATGTTGCCTTTCTCATCTCTGTAAACATGAAGCTGTATCTTCAAGTAGTTAATCCAAACAAAGCAGGAATCACTGCTTACATTTTTGTGAAGTGGTGGGTGCACATGTTGGAGGCAGCTCAGAGGAACAAGCAGCTCAGAGTCACTTGGGAGCAGCACTTCTTAACTGGGATTGGTAGTAGTCACCGGATTTAATTCATCTAATTGCAGTTGTGTGTTGAGAAATGCTGTTAAAGGTTGAAGAAATGCTGGAGCAAAGGTAGCTGATATGTAGCGTAGGAGGCAACCAGTCAAGTATTCTGTTGTGTTTCAAAGGTGATACAGGTTCATTAATTACTTATTAAACCCTGGTGACTCAGATGTGTTCATCGCACATCCTTTAATAGTGATGATAAAGTTTATATGTGCTAGTTTGGTTTAATAGTTTGTTACCTTCAGAGTTGAATATGTGTATTTTTTTAATGTAGCAGAAGAGAATTGTCCATTTGATGAGTTTTTTTGTTTGTTTGTTTCTGTTATAGCAAACCTAAATGCCTTTCAGTTATTCAGAAATTGCAGGTATTAAGAGTAATTTTCTGGATAAATATCCTGCAAAGATTTTTTTTTTTTTTAAAGCCGCTAGGCATGAGCTTATGAGCTCTGTGGTCCTTCTCCTTTGAGAAGAAGTAGGTTTTTGCGAGGGTTTTTTTTTACATTCTTAAGTAGAATCTTTAGCATGTCCGGTCTCTGAGTAATATTGTCTGAAGAGACTTGACTTCACTTTAAAAAGCAGGATTGATTTCTCATGATTTACTCTAATTTGTCAGCTAAGCTGGCTGAAAATCAGTTGGACTGTGTGTAGTATAAACTGTGTTTTGCAGTTCCAACTCTTTCCTGGGTACAACCTGTGTTTTTGTAGGGCAGGAGACAGGAATTATGTAGGAAGCATGAGGAACTGGATTCCAGGATGAGTCAAAATTTAAAATGTTGGAAGACCAAAAGAACAAAATCAGTTTAGTGGTGACCTCACAGACTTTTAGTCGCAGAGTAATGAGCTCGAACGTGTCCAACTTAACTTGTGTGTAATTCCTCATTTATTTATTCTTGAGCTTGTTTTGGCCTTACTTGGCTAAGTATATTGTGTATGAACCTCACATGCCTCCATTTACAGTACCTGTATTTCCTTCTTGGCTTTTACTTGTGCTTAATGTAGAGTGAGGGATAAACTGACCTTCTTGCTTTCAAATTTCCTTTTCCTGTAACTTATTTCGTAGTGTTCTGGCCGTGTTGGAGGACCACCACAGAACTGCTTAACCAACAGACACTCAAATCAAAAGGCATTCCTTTTGCTGTTCAGCTCAATTAGTTGTTAACAGTAGCAAGGATAAAATAGTGGTGGGTAAGAAAGACCATAGCCAGCAAGTTTATCAAAATCGCTCTATTGGGACAATTATTTTGGCTTTTTTTTTTTTTTTTTTTTTTTTTTTTTTACTTCTATAAAAAGGTGCACAGAAATATACATCTTTAAAGCACAAGTTTGTGGATTTTTTTTTAAGGATGAAGGTTGATGTGGATAATCTTCCAGTTGTACGTATACAGACTTGCACATACCATTCCGTAAACTCAAGTCAGAGCTTCTGTCTTGTAGTCTAAACAATAAATATTCCAATTAGTTAAGTGATGTCAGTTAATTCCTCGTTCTTGGAAAAAGCAGTTATCTTCAAGTTAATATTATTTTGCTGTGCTTGGGTATATTGCCCTGCATTATACAGCCATTGATTAGTTGGAAGTAGTCTTAAACAAAAACTAAAAAAACCCACCACCACCACCAAAAAAAAAAAAGTTAACTTTGAACAGTGTGACTGTGTTAGAAGGAATTTAACTCAAGACAATACCAAGAACATGAAATATTTTTAAAAACAAATATTAACAAATACTATTTTTAAACTTTTTTTGATTCTTTTAATTGTGATGTATTTGTCTTAAAGGAATGGATCTAGTATTTGTTTCCTCTGTTTTTCTGTAATTTTTTTTTAAATGAAAACTCTTAATTATTTAACTTTCCTGATAATTGCTTGCTAGTGTTAAACTGTCGACAGTACAGTCCTACTGAGATGGGACATGTGCAAATATGGGCCAGTTTTAGCCCATTGTGCTATAAGGTGGTGGGGAATTCATTATGAACGTTGTCTAGTAAAAATATATAAATTAAGATAGCTTTCCTTGATCCTCACTGAGAACTAAATGACTTTCTAGATATAATTTCGAGTCTTCTGCTTGTTTTCAATTCACCCATAGGGCCCATTATCTTGATTCTTGTCACCAGCATGTAGCAATACACAATTATAGTGTAGCCTTCACTCTTTGTCATTTTTCTAGCCGTAGGGAAGTGTTAAGATTTTATTTCACAAATTATAACGCTTAACAACAGCTTGGCCAGTAGATTTCTGCCTGGAGAGCCTTACAACCTTATACTGCAGAAGACATTTTTAATTAAGTATGGAATTGAATACGAGCTGCAAGGATGCCCATGGCCTTAGAGGAAAATATGGGGAGGAGAACTCAGTTATGGGATACAGTGGATCATAAATACAGGGCTTTTTTCTTCAGTAGAGACTGCATCGTGGACCTTACCATTCCTGTTGAGTGCATTATGAAACACCCTGAATATATTTTAAGTTACTGAAACAGAATCATGGCAAGTTTAGTATGAGCTCTTCTTCTTCACTCTCCGAATAGTGATTCAAATTTAGGGTATAAATGGTATTTCTCTATTTAAATGCATTGGGGGGGGGGTTCTGTTTTGTTTTGGGTTTTTTTGCCTCACACTCTTAAAATGGTGGTCATCTTCCTTCTAGTGACAGGTCAATCCTATGAGAATATGGTGACTGAGATCATGTCCATGGGATATGAACGGGAGCAAGTAATTGCTGCGCTGAGAGCCAGCTTCAACAATCCTGACAGAGCGGTGGAATACCTTTTGATGGTGAGCTGCTTGTTTCGTTTACACTCTCCCCTTTCATTTTTTTGTTATGCCCATGTTAAAGGGAAATTTTGACTTTGATTTACTTGCTTTTTCCTGATTGGATAATAATGAAAATAATGCGTGTTCAAAGGGAACAGCAGGTCTAAGGATGGAATGGTGAGATGCAGTTTTGAGGTTCCTGTTTTACAGCAAATCCCAAAATCATCCTTAGCTGTATCTTTTTATTTTACATGGATTTATGTGGCTATATATGTAAAGAATGACATGTTTCAATGATAAACTATAACTGGCAATGAGTAGCTCAAAGAATGATTCTGCTTGTGCTGATGTCTTAGTGACAAATGTAGGTGTATTTTCGTGTTAGATTCTAACTTCACAATAGATTTCTTAGAGCTCCTGTTCATTGTTTTTACTAATCATACACAGAGTTCTTATTAATACATTTTCCAAATGGAAAGATTTGAAATTACTATGGTATGCTTAGGTTAACTAGCATTTTAGTTAAGTAATCTTTTGGACAAGAAACACGCCCTTAATAGGTAATTTTAGTTTTAAAGCTGAAACGAGCTTCACTGCTTGAAAGACAACAAAGAATAGCTTCAGTCTAGCAGGAATCTTGTGAGTTGTTTTAGGATTCATTTTTGTTGTCGAATTAAATCTCATTGCATGTGATAGTCTGGTAGGTGAATTGAAACTGTAAAGAAATGGATCTGCGAGTTCAAATACATAGAATTCGTTATTTAATCATTATTTCCAGTGTGTTTAATTTAGACCCTATATTCCATATAAACATTTAATTAACATTGTACTTTATTCAGTTGTATACCTGCATAAACTAGGTGATCAGATAAGAGATGATCAGTCTCATTGGATTACTATATTACATAGCCTTGGTTACTTGGAGAATGATACCTCAAATTTAGCTTCAGGAATTAATATGAAAAATCATCTCTAAGTCAGTTTGGTTAGATTAGTTTCCTTAGTGCTTCCATTCAAGAAGAAACTTAAGACTTAAAGAACATTTGTTGTCTGGTCTGGACATAGTTTACTTTGACCACATATGCTTCTGTGAATAAAGTCAACCCTGTTTTTGTAATTTGTACTCGCATACCACCAAATATCTGATTTGATGGAAAAATGTGTTTAAGTAGCATTCTGTAAGGCAGTAGTAGATAGATACCACAAGATTGCATCGTTAGTGGATTTTTTTTCCCTTTTTGTGGAAGGAGGAAAGCATAGCAAGCTGATCAAGCCAGATAAAAATGCTAATAAAGGGAGAGACAGGGAAAACTTTCATGGGTTGCTTAAATATGAACTTGATGTTGAAGGTGGTGCTATATATCTCGGTGTGTATAAGATAGGGCCAAGTCCTGCCTGGAGCATTATGTAGTTCTCCCACTACAGATGTAGCCTTTATATTAGCTGTATGTGTATTTGTCCTCATCAGATACAGTGGTGAGTGTGTCACATGAAGATGAGGTAGCAGAACATCAGCTGCCAGTATATCCTGTGCTAGATTGACCAAACCTGTTGCTCTGTCTACCTTGGAGACGAGGTGTTGGGGAGTAGACAGTCTCGTGTGGTCTTGTCGCCTTGGGGCTGGGTGTAACATCCCCCAGTTATTACTGTGTGTGTCTCGAGAGTCGTACTGCTTTGTGGAAGCTGTCTATTTTGGGTTCTGTTCTGGCAGTTCCCCTGTCCAAACAGCATCATTTTGCAGCCTCTTGCTCCTGTGCAAAGCTGGAAATGATTGCTTTCAAGTGTGCACAAAGGTGGTTTCCAGGCTTCAGGGAGGATGATGGAGTAGACAAATTTGGCGTGTGGAGTACAGTTCCCAGTGATAGTGTGGAAAATACGTTTAGGATACAAAGTTCAAAGGTTTTCCATGTAAGAGGAAGGCAATATGTTATGATCTGTCTGGAATGTATAAATCGCATCCCACGTTTTTTAGGTCAGCCCTCTGAATAGTAGTTAACACTCTTTAAAGTTTGCATACAGAAAATGGAACAAAATTCAAGTTAACTATTTTTTGTTAGAAATCTGATTATATGCAGACCTTTTCACACTCGCAATACAATGAATGACAATCATTCAACTATTAGTTGGAAAAAGCAGATCCAGATGTTTGTGCTGTTCCCTCTTTTACTTTCCTGATAGCTAAATTGTTAGTTCCTTAACTATACAGCATCTGTGACCTCACTGTAAGCATTTTATGTTACAATGTAACTTTATTTGCATAATAGCATAACATAAAGTTATAACTTTATACTTAAACTTTTTCGCAACATCATATAAGTACAGGTATCAACGCAAGTTTCTGTTCGTGGAGTAAATGCATTTTCATTTGGACAAACAGAGACAGGATAGGGTTTATTGCATTAATACATATTTATATGAGCCATATATATATTTTTTGTGTCAAAAACTACTCCACAGTATTCTTCTCCAGTGGTAAATTATTATCTGTCGTTAGGACTGCATTTGCTGTATATTTGCAGTGAAAGTTTTAATGTTGTCTTTTCCTTCTGGGAACTAAATAATCCGTGAAATAACACAAATTCCTTTTAGCATTCCGTAGGTAATAATGTGATCTGTGACTTTAGGGCATCCCCGGGGATAACCAGACCGTGGCTGAGCCTCCCCAGGTAGCAAGCACGCAGACTCCAGCAGCAGGAACCGTGCCGACAACTACGAGCTCTTCAGGAGGTAAGAGGGATTGTGCTTGAGAGGAGCACCTGAGCGTCCGTGCTGGAGTGAGTTTAGTTGAACTGGTAACAGTGAATCGGGTGAGAGCCATAACACGTAAGTTCCACGAGCGTGGTCCCGCTTGGAAGAAATGACTTGTCGTATGTGGATATACCCGTAGTAAGACATTGCATTTTTAATACTGCTGTGATCTCGTGCCATTCCTTTGTTTCAGTTTTAAATACAAGACCGCAAATGTGGATGGGGTTGTGTTTGCTCTCACTTAGATCTGTCTTCCTATTTTGTGGCTAACAGTGCTCCGCCAACTGCGGTTATCCTAATGCCTTTATTGCTGGGAGAGCTGGAATGTCAAGAGGGGAGCGTGCAGTAGGAGCTGAGGCATAGAGCCCCTGAGACCCATCCATCAGCTACTACCCCTCACTCCTGAAGGGAGTGGTTAGTGCCTGGCGAAAAGAATGCTCTCTAAGAAGAAATAAATACATGAAAGGAGCATAATCGAGTCTTATTCAATTTGTGGCAGAGAAATTTCCAAGATTTAAGCTTTCTTTGCGGCCAGAATGCTAAACCTACAGGCAGGAGTGAAAGACAGTCATGACATCCATAAGTAAAGAATGACAGAGGTGACAGTGTATACCAGAGGAGTTCCGACTGTGCCAAGTTGAAGGCAATAGCTCCTAGCACAGGAAATGTGGGATGCAAAGACTTGCTTGAGGAAGATAGAGTGGACCTGATTAGAAGATATGCCTCTGTTTTAAGTACAGAAACGGAAGCTTCTGAGTGTTTCTGGATGAAATTAATCAGAGATGAGATTTAAAGAGAAAAGTGCAGGAGATCTAGGAGAAAGGCCTGTGAGATTTTCAGAGAGACTGGAGTGTGAAGAATGTACTTCATTTAACTTTGTTAGAAAAGATACTAAGCTAAAGTTAGAGTAAATCAAACCGAAAAGGCAAGGTCATCTCCAAGGTGTCAGGTGGTGTCCATTTCATATACAGCACCAGTTAAACTGTGAAACCCACTCCTTCCCAGTTGCTGAAGGAAGGAGTATGCTAAAATATCAGCTATTTGGTGAAACTCACTGATTTGAAAGGAATCTTCCAGTTCAGGTTAAGTAGGAAGGTAAAATTTAATTCAAGTTACATTATGTACCCTTTTGCCTTTTAACTTGACCCTGGAAAAGTCATATTTCTATTCACAGTTGTGATGTACGTTACTTTTGGTAAAGAAATCTTGGTAACTCGCTTTTAAAAAATGTTTCTGTCTTTGATTTTTCAGGACATCCGCTTGAGTTTTTACGAAATCAGCCTCAGTTCCAGCAGATGAGACAAATTATTCAGCAAAATCCTTCTCTGTTGCCAGCATTGCTACAGCAGATAGGACGGGAAAACCCTCAACTACTGCAGGTGAAATTTTAAGGACACAAAATAACATTATTAAGTCTGTAGCTTTTAGAGCAACTGAAATGTTGACATTAAGTAGAATAACATGTTAATGCTAGTTTTACCATGCCATTGGTGGCTTTCCAGCAGTTGCTGCTATGCAGAACATATTTTCTATGGCGTTAGAAATGGATCTGAATCCCCTTGTAAGAGGTGCAGAGGGCATGAGGAAGAGGGGAGGTCACCGCAACTGGATTTAGTCATGAAATTGCGTTTCTTATGGTTAGATTTAGTCACTTTAAGTGCTTTCTACACTGTGCTACAGTGCTTTTCTTAAGTCACTGAAAATAAATAAAGTTAGCTGCTTATTGGCAGGGCTAAACATGCTTTATTTCAGTATGTTGTTTCCTTTTATTCTCCCATATACCACAGCAAATAAGCCAACATCAGGAGCATTTTATTCAGATGCTGAACGAGCCAGTTCAAGAATCTAGTCAAGGTGTAAGTGGTGGTGAAGGCAGCACTGATGGAGTAGCAGAAGCTGGAAGTGGTCCCATGAACTACATTCAAGTAACACCTCAGGAAAAAGAAGCTATAGAAAGGGTGAGCCTTTCTGCTTTGGGACGTTGTTTAACTGCTGCTGTAGGGTGTTGACTCTGCCTAGTGCGTTGTTAAGCTATGTCTTAAATTAATATTAATCATCTATAACTGATTTGTGGTATTTCTTAGCTACCCTGGTCTGTTTCAAATCACGTCTGTTTTTGCTGCATAGCGACTGAATCTAAACTCTCCTGAATCTGTCTTCCTTAGAAAGCATGGAGCTTTGTAAGTGATCAGAGTCCATCTGTAGTAACGGATGATTTGAATGAGTTTCTCTGAGGAAATAGACCTTCAGCAAGGACCTTATGCAAAAGCCTCAGACAGTAGGTTTCAAGATAGGGCCAGATTCTAAGGAATATGGATGAACACTTTGCAAAGTACTTGGATGGTCAGAGATCTCATAGTGAAATAGATTAGTTGAAGTTAGTATAAGAATTAGTTTTATCTTTTGAAAAATACGGGTAAAAATTCAATATAAAATCAATTTTAGGGATATACTGCATGAACGCATTAATATTATTTGCAATACTGACTAAATCTGGATTTACACAGATGGCACTGACTCTGAGATTTTACATACTAAAATCCAATTACAGGGATTTTCAGTGCCGTGCTATACAGATATCAAAGACATTTTTTTTCTTAACTGGAAAAGCACAGGTTAATGTAAGAGTTACCCAAAAAGCTCTTTAGTCTACCCTTTAATTTGCTACATCTGAAGGAAATTGATAGTTAATAAAACAAGTCTCTTTGCCCATTTACTTCTTTACAGATTATTCTCTCTCATTCGGCTTCATTTCCCTTTAAAGCCATGTTTATGCACTACAGCATTATCATTAAATGCTGCTCCAAAACACAGGGAGAGAAGGATGTCTGCTTCTTCACATTTCCATGAAGGACAGACCTGAAAACATAGTACAACAACTGGCACATTCATTCTGTTTGTAAGCCTGATCCTAAATCTAAGAGTGGATGATAAGTGATAATAGAACCTGGTTTCTCACAGAGATTTGATCTGCCCTGGATGCAGAATGCCTTGCAGGTGTCGTGAGGACTTTGAGAAAATCTCCACAAGAAGATGGCATTTACTTGCCTCTGGCTAAAACAAAGATCCGCTTGTAGACTGCCTAAATGCAGGCTAATCCCGTTTCGTTTGGCACAGGAACAAGCCTTTTTCCTGTAGTCTCATCCCCCAGTTTTATTGTGTCGGAGTTGTTAGTCCCCAGAATTGCTGAAAACAGATTTCTCTCGACTTGCTTTTCATGGTTGCAATTTTTAATCAGATTTTTTTTTTTAAAAAAAAGTACAGCTTCATGTGGTGTGCTGGACTACTTAACAGTGGTGTGTGAATCACACGTTGCACATTGAGCTCCAGGCATTTTTGTTAAAAATGTTGAGCTTTTTTTAATTATTAGATTAAAATGTGCATAGTCAGATTTTTTCATCACTATTTTTCTGCAGCGGTGCAGTGTGTACTTACTTTGCAACATTACTGTGACCTGGTGCTATCTTAGTACCTCACTGTGGCAGTAAAAGTGATATGATTTTCAGTGCTTCATAACACTGCTTCAAGTGAGAACTTAATTTCACTTCCTGAAGAAACAGTCTACACACAAGTCTAAGCAGCAAAGTTTGTTTCCACAAAACAAAAATGGCTTAAGTTTAATGTCTGGGCTGGTGTTTAATAAGATATTAAGCATACAGAGAAGCTAACTGGACAAACTGTAAATTCTAAATGTGTTTCTTTTCTTCAGTTAAAGGCGTTAGGATTTCCTGAAGGACTTGTGATACAGGCATATTTTGCTTGTGAGAAGAATGAAAACTTGGCTGCCAACTTTCTTCTACAACAGAACTTTGATGAAGATTGAAAAGGAGAGACTTTTTTTTTTTTATCTCACACCTCACACCAGTGCATTACAACAACTTTGTTCACTGGATTGTCTGGAATATTTGGGCTGTCATCCATCATGCTCAGTGTATGGTATATGGAAGGGTGGGGGGAAGAGAGATGAAAATATAGGAAACAGCAAATGAATATACCAGAATATCTGCTTTAAATCTGCAGATACATCAAATCACACAGTGTAAGATAATATGCAACCAAAAATCAGCTTCTGCAGGTATTTAGTTCCTTCTATAAACTGTAGGCTACTTTTTTCTAGGTTTTCACTCTTACTATACTAGTTCCAGAAATGTAGTGTAAGGCCCTGCTTCATGTTCCTTTTTTCTTTAACCGTGGTGTTGGAGATTGCCTTGGCTACCTAGAATCTGCAATCTGTATTTCATGGCAACACTGGATAGTGGCTTTGAGAAACCTAAAATATCTGAGCAAATGTAAACATGAATGCCAAAATATGGATAGTTATTTTGCTATTTGACATTTATTAAATTAATGCAAGAAGCCCATTATTTTGTTCAACAATTAAAAATGAATCCCTTTAAATGGAAACTCTTTTTAGTTAAAAGTATCTTGATCATAAGTTGAAAGCCCCCCTCCCTTCTCAAAGAATATGGGAAGCTGTTATGTGTACAGGTAAACTTTTTTTCCTGTTTACATTTCTTATTTTGGGGAAAAAAAATATAGATATCTAATTACTGTTTATTTTATTGCTATGTTACAGTAAAGGTTTGAAAAGCAAAGATTGCATGCTTGGTTTTGTCACTCTTGTGAACAGAGTATTTTTTCTTTTCTGACAGCAACGAATATTTAATCCATCCCAGTAATACTTTATTATCAACTCAAATTTTACTTTCCTACCTTTTTTCCTGTAAGGGCTGGTCCAACAAATACAGCTTTTAGCATCTTAGAATCAGGTGGCTAATATCTGTAGTACTTTAAATTTTATTTTTATTTGTGTCTTTGGGAATGGATGACCACTCTGAAGCTCTTGGCATTCTGTTGCTCTTGAATAGATTAAGAGGTTGCAATGATCAAGGCATCTCTATTCAGTAAGGCCATTTTAAGATTTATTTACTTTTTGAGAAAAAAAAGTTTAAAAAAAAAAAAAGAGAGAGAAATTAAACAAACATCTCAACCCAAAAGATAACACACAAACACTTTTCTTTTTTTAAAAATAGGTCTGATTACAGAGTTTGAAATCTTGTTTCTTGGTACCTATTTGTTATTATTTTGTTTAGTGATCAGAAGATTTAACATTTTTAATATTCACTGACTTGTAGAGAAAACCTTGCTAGTCAATGCACTGCTAGTGATAAAAAAAATGCTTTCTGCTAAAGATATTTTGTGCAAAATTTCTTGAACATACGTTGGGGATATTGTAACTTTTTTACTGTTGTGTTTCAGTTAGCTGATTACAAGTTTTTCTTTATAATAACTAAGACAATATTAGCACCATTTGTGGTACAGTTCCGAACAGTTGTGCCACTAATAACACTAATAATTTAGTGGTGCAACTAAAGAATGATCTTCTGCTTGGAATATGTAGAATTGGATTTAACTACTGCTTATGCTCAAAGTACAAATCATGTATCTGAGAAAAGAGAAGGAGAAAAAGGTGGAAACACTTGTATTCATATTTTGTTTCTTCATTGGTTGGCCTTAATATGTAAAATAATTATTTGCATAAAATAATGGAACATAATAAAACCTTTCACTGCTTCTCTGTAGCCTTAAACATCTACAATGTTTTTCAGATGGTGTGTATTTTAATTATTCAGATTTTTATGCTGTACGATTTCATAGATGCATAATGTCTAAGTGATCAGTAGTGCAAACAAAATCTATCAGTACAGGCTGTGATACTGCTAGTTACAAAATAAGTCTTTCGTAATGCTTTCATTTTAGAGAAGTTAATATCTAAGTCTGCTAGTACATTTCAGATAAACAGGAGGATCGGTATATATGTATATTGTACTGCAAGACATTGGTTTTAATAATGTACAGTTATGCAGACAAAAAGGGGATAATTATCTGTAAGAGGACTAGCTGCCAAGTACTTGAAAAATTGTTAATTTTATACAAAGACTTCCAGAATGTACTTTACACAGTTAATATGAAACTGAAACTAAAAAGCTTTGGGACTGTGGGAGTCTTCTGTACCAATCATATTGTCTGCTCTCAGAAGTAACGATTGCTTGCTCAGGAAGATGGGGAATAAAGTAAGAGTGGCTGTGAGTTTTTTCTAATCTGCTCCCTTCAATTTTTATCCTGAAGCTTTTACTCATTATTCAGCTCATAAATTCATTTGAATTGAAATCTGGTCATCTTGCTCTTCAGGAAAGAGCAAGCAGATAAGGTCATTTGTAGCTTTGTGTACTGGGTGCCCGAGGAGTTCATTGTTGCCCTGTTTTTCATTAATGAAATCATGTTTGGTCTGCATGGGCTTGTCTGCCTTCCGATAAGGAGCAAGATAACACATAGATACGTTAGCAAAAACAGTGTTTTGCTCAGGAGTGGGTTAGCTGCTAGCAAAAGCCACGTATCCCTCTAGTCGCAGCAAAAAGGGAAGAATATATGGAAATGTTGTTCTGGTAAGTGTGACCTGAACGAGTTGGCTGTGCATGATGCTCCCTACTCAGTATCACAGGGTATCGGGGCAGTGGGAACTCCCTGCCTACATAAGAGCTCTCTGGGCTGGGGAGCTGCCTCCTCGGGGCTGCGTGAGAACTTGCCAAGAAAAGCAAGCAGTTTTATTATTGGAGTCCCTTTGTTGGAAAACTTCCAGGCTTCTGCTTACTGAAAAATGAATGAAAACCTCTAAAAGTGCGTGCGTGTGTGTGTTTGTTTTCCCCCTTTTATGCTACTCTTGTTCCATCCATGGAGGAAACACCTTGTTCTGAAAGTTTCGTCAGCCTTAGAGTTGTTAGCTCCCGTGTCCTCTCTGTGCCACATTATAGCGGTAAGTTCATCATCCGCTCATGGATATGAATAAAACCCAAGACATTGACTCGAGAGACTTAATTCTTACCACAGTAAGGTAACTTTTCATAGGAATGTGAGAGAATCGCTTAAGAAGTCTAGTGGTGACTATTTTTAAAAAGTCGTGCTGACATTGTTTTTTCAAAAATATACATTAATGAATGAAATTGAGACATGAAGCAAGTTCCCTGCTGCTGTAAGTGGACCTGTCACCGGGTATTTCAGTTGATTTTAGGTATTTGGGAGCAGGTTTGTTAGTACTTCAAGTTTTATACTGATTTCCTTCAAACTTCAAACACAGGCTGTCTGTGCTCAAAAGAATCAACTCTAGAATTTCTGGATTTGAGAATGCTACAATGGAAATAATGAGGGGGGAGTTAAAACCTCTGTAGATAATACTTCTGGTTCTTTTTAGCTTTTGTTGTTTGGAAGGTCAGAAAGATAGTCAGATATTCTAAATTAATCATGTTATCTATTGAGGAACACTATTGCGAAACTGAAGTTATGGTAATGAAAGTTTTACGGATCTAAAGCTAAAGGTTATGACATTGTGGGGTCATAAAATTGAACTTAACTAAGCACAGGTAAGTTTATTCCACTCTTGATGAAATGACATGCAAAAATATTTTATTTTTTGAAATTACCACAAAATACGTGGTTGGCCATCAGTGCTAATACTTAGAATGTGTCGTCGCAGGGTGTAGCTGATTCCTCTAAATCTCATGTGACAGTATAGAAATACTTCTTCACAGAAAATGAGACTTGGAAGAAAAGGGGACATTTACCTTCTAAATTCTTGTTAAAGTTCAACTAACTTATAACCCATTGAATAGACAAAAGAAAAAAATATTAGTAATAAGCAGTTTATTTCTAGTCAAAGCTGGAACAGGCTGCCCAGAGAGGCTGTGGAGTCTCCTTCTCTGGAGATCTTCCAAACCCGCCTGGATGCCACCCTGTGCCATGTGCTCTGGGTGTCCCTGCTGGAGCAGAGGGGTTGGACTAGATGGTCTCTAGAGGTCCTTGCCAACCCCAACCACTCTGTGATTCCGTGAAAGCATGTTTTATGAAGAGACTAGTATCTGTGGTATTTCTTCTCCAGAACTGACTGATATCAATATATTCAGAGGTGTATTCCTAAGCAGTGGAAGTGTTCAGCTGGAAAAACAGCACCCTGAAGATTCTTAACTTAACCCTGCCACCACTTAACCCTGCACTTGGACTTTTCCCTCGGTGCATGCTTATAAAACAGTAACTACTGTATGCTTTTGCTCATTTAAAGTCTAGTGCCAAAACTGCCACTTAAAAAGCTTTGTGTTGTGCAAATCTCTGAAGTTGTGCCTGGAGAACTGCAATGGAAAGTGTCTTTAGCTTGCAAAATACATACCTTGCTTTTCTGCTATCCTTTTGTGGTATGGCTAGAAGCACTAATGCAAATATTTTGTGTCCCAGGGGACAAGGAGCAACATCCTTGGGATTCTCGTTGCCTGAGATAATGGTTTTAAGATATAATAGACCAGGAGTGACCAGATGCTGGAGCAGGCAGTTCTGTTTCCCAGCTTAAGGTGGGATTCATTGCTGTCCTTGTAACATAGAGCCCAAGGCAATGGTTGCAAAGTCCCTATGTGGCCTTATTCGTAGAACTTGTTGAAATCCTTTGATTTCAGTCTGTATTTTTAATGACCATTTTTAATGCTGTATTTGAGTTAAACGTTCACTTTTTATGCCTCTCTCCGCTTTTGAAGAAAGCATGTAAGCTGCAAGGGAAGTGCCATCACTTACTGAACAGAAGAACAAGAATTCGAAGTCAAGGGTTGAGATCAAGGATAGAGAAGGAGTGAGAAATGGAATGAAACAGAAGATAGAGGAGATGGACCTCAGTGTTAAGAGGACCTGTGGTGAACATAGAGCCAGCTAATGAATGAGTGCTTGGAATTAGGAAAGTAAACACAAGTTGGTAGAGAAACTGGGAGCAGGACTAATATATATGTTCAAAGAGACTTCAAAGACAAAAGCGTTCCCTTTTTCATCCGTTACCTCTTTTGTTTTGTAGATCAGTCATCATGAACTGACTATTCATAAAGCATGTTCTGAGTAAGAGGCAATAAGGAGGTTACAAAAAAATGAGGGGAATAGAGGCACAA